CGGTTAGTGACCAGGAGATAGGCAACCTGCGGCTCCGGTACGATGCGGAGCTGGCCGACGCCCGCCGGGCGCTGGACAACATCGCTATGGAGAGGGCCACGCTGCAAGTGGAGCTGGGCAAGATCGGCGAGGAGCACCGGGAGCTGCACAGCAGGTCGGTGCCCCGGCCCTCCCGCCGCGCCTGCCTGGCCCCGAGCAGGCCTCCCTGCTGGGAACCTCCCTGGGGCCCTTGCAGTGCGAGGGGGTGTCGCTTGCCAGCGGCTGTGTGTCGGGGAGGGAGTGCTCGGTGCTGTAGGGTGTCTGGGTCATGGTGGTGGTGACACCCCACAGGTATGGCCCTGTGAGGTTGGAGTGTCTTGGGTTAGGAGCAATCCTGGTGTCTGTTCTGAAGATGTGCTGCAGGGCTGCTGCTGTGAGCACCTCCTGCCATCGTGCTGCTGGGCTGCTTCTGCACCTCCCTGTGATGGGCATGGGGCTCCCCCAGGGTGTGGGGTCTTGGGTGGCCTTATGGGGATAGTATGGCATGAATGCATTGCTGACTGGGTTTGGCACCACACCTGTGTTTATGAACACTCAAGAAGCTGCTATGCTGGAAAGCATCTAGAAAGTTATGGGGGTAGGGGAAGGAGTCTCTGTATGGAGTTAGCTCCCATCTTTTTTGGGCTTTTTAGCTCAGATGTTGCCTGGAGGGGAGTATAGCAAGGGCAGTCCTGCAAGTAGTATGGCTTACCTGGTCCAGGCTGGTACTGTGCTGAAATTCTCCTAGTGGCTTTTGATTCTTGATTTACATGTTACTGGGATGAACTGCCTGTTGTTTCAGGCTTGACTTTCTTGCAAGCTGTATAATCTGAGCCTGGAATCATCGTCTTTAGTCTTGCTGAGCCTGGAACAAAGGGAAAAGGGTGGCCCAATGTAAGTGCAATCAAATCCTCTTGGAGCAGGGAAGAATGTGGGTAGAGAAGGGGAGGGAACAAGTGTCCAAGCCCAAAAAGCTTCCTTTGTGTGTATATACAGATTGCTAGCATGGCTGGTTACTTTAATGCCCCATTGCACTGCTAAACCAATATGGACTTGTAATAATTTGGGTGTCCTCAGGCCTTCTAAATCTTGTTATAAACTTGCATCATAGCAACTTTAGGCACTAGCTTTTTCTTCTAACACTTGTGTGAAGCAAATACTGTTCCCTCAGTAGGGCTTTAGCTGTTCTGCTTGGGAATAAAACATGTTTTTACTCCAAGCTTCTGTTTTCAGCTGGTTAGGAGTTCTTGGACTTGTCTCATTCATGCTGGGTCTTGGCTCATAGACCTGTTTCATAAATCTAACCAGCCACTTGGGTGGACAGTGAGGACAGGGGTAATGCCAGTTCTAAAACTTTTCTGCTGCTTGTTTGTGTAACTTGGTGGCTTTGTTTATAAAGCTTTCAGCTTGGCAGGTATGCAGTCTTGTGGACTGATTATTTTTTCTTTAAAGTAACTAGATCTTAGATGTGGTTAACTTTACAGCCCATGGGAAACATACATACTACGTGCTGCTTTCTGAAAGGACTAGACTGAAGTCCTAATATTAATGGGTGTTTTGTATCTGGGCTGCCTAACTGCAAATGTCTCAGATGACTTGGAGCAAACTACTTTGAGGGTATCATGCCCTTTATATATACAACCTTTAAATAACCTGGAACTCTTATAGGATGGAATGTCACCAGATAATTTCCCAACAGCATTAACCATTGGCTCTTATTAATCACTGGTAAAGAGACTTAAAGCTTCAGCAACAATGAAGTGTGCTTGGATGTCAGCTTTTTTCTTACTAAACAGTGGTAATTGGAAGCAGGCCAAAGATGTTTGGGGAGGAGGAGTTGTGGATAAGCATATCAGTTGGTTGAATTCAGAGCCTGAGGAAGGTCAAAGCAACCATAGTAGCATAGCAGAGAAAGATAAGACCAGTTTCTTTCTGCACCAGTGAGTACAGATGTGCATTTTGCTACTGAACCTGATATATGTGGTGTAGCAAGCTGAAGTTGTAGGAATGAATTCTGCAAGTGCTGTTAATGTCCTCTAGTCTTGACAAACTGGAGTCCATTTCAAACATACCTGAACTCTTTTGGTAAAATTATTTGAAGTCTCCAGGTCAAGCATATGTGACACCCAGATTTACAAGGAATGTGATTGGCAGTGCCTCAAAAATTATTGCTTGCAATTGATAGTTGATAAGCCATGCTTAGTTCTGGAATGGTTGGTATATGCAATGTTGTGGAGTACCATAACTGTCACTGCTTGCTGCATCATAATGTAAAGTGGTGTTCTGAATCCCAAACTTTGTTTAAAAGGGTAGTAAATGCTCTTGTGAAAGCCAGGCTTGTTAAATTGCTGTTCTTAAAGATAAGATGACTCACTTCAGGGTTCTCTGAAAATAATATTTGTCAGGAAAGAACATAGGAAACCTCAACCTGGCTGTCAGAGGCCTGCATCAGGAAAGCAGACCTTCAAACCACAGAGTTAAAACATAGATAGTAATGGAATTTCAGTCTTGCATGTGCTTTGATTGCAGAATGAAATTTGTATTATTGTAGGATTAAACAGTCAATATTATCATTAAGTTGTGTTATTGATGTACTTGTTAGTATCATAACTAATACAATAAGTGGTATTGGTAGAAGAGATCCAAATAGAAGTGTGAATAATATCTAGAAGAGAAAGAAACCTGTAAATACAAAAAAACCCACCTACATACATTATCTTGTTTTTCTTTGTTATCCCAGTAGAGTTACTTTTTTCCCAGAGTCTGAGTAAAGAATAAATAACTTCTGCTAGCAAAACATTTGGGTTTGTCATGGTCATGAAGTATGAGGACACAATCAACAAATGTCTTAAGAGCAGGGGTGGAAAGGCCTTGAGCAAGAACCTGATGTAGCCACATGTCCCAGGCCTGTGTTGGAACCAGCCATACCTGCATCTCTTCCAGCAGATGTTTGCATAACCCTTTTTTAAATTCCAGATGATGGAGATTCCAGAATATCCCTCCAGGCAATGTGTTTCAGTGTTGAACTACTGTTAGTTTCCTCTCCCTACATCTAACCCAAAAATTCCTCTCTGCAATTTAAGCCTGCAACTTCCTGTCTTTTCCACAACAGCCATGGAAAACAGATTCCCTTCCTCTATGCAGCAGTCTTTCATGTATGTAAAGACTGTTATGTCTCCTGTCACTTTTCTCTTCTCTAGACTAAACAATGCTTAGGGTTTTTTCCAGTCTTTCCTTGCAGTCCAGGCTTTCTAGAGCTGATCACTCTTGCAGAATGACTTTGGACTCTCTCCAACTGGTCTGCTCAGTTATCAACTGGAAAACTCATTGTATGAATTATCACAACGTAGCCACTTGGCAGGACAGATTTTGCTAAAGTAAATTGAACACTTTACTCTTTGCAATCTCAAATCTGAGTTTTGAGCAGGAAGTCAGGCTCTGGATAGTGGTCAGGCAACTGCAAGGATTTTGGAAGTTGGAGCAGTCTGGGAAATTATCACCCCTTTTGCTGACAGGAACTCACTGTGGGCCCAGCACTTCTCTGCTGTGGTGCCAAGTAAAACTGGCAACTTAACCATATTGGCCATCCAGGTGGTACCTGAGGGCTCTGTACCTGGGTATTTGTGCAAGGAGATGGCCACCTTCTGAAGGCAAAGCTTCTCTCGTCCTGTAACTCTGCTGTGGTGTGAAGGAGGGGAGGAGCAGGGGATCTTTCCTGAGGGAGAAGAGTTCCTTGCAAGGGTGCTGTGAGGGAAGGGTGGTTGCTGTGGGGGCTTGCTGTCCTGTGGCAGGAGCTGAGGGGCTGTAGGAGGCAAAGCCCGAGCTGGGCATGTGGGGCTGACAAGGCCTGCTCACCAGGGCTGGGCCGGTGGCCTCCTGGGGACAAAACTCCTTGTGCTGTGGGTGGGAATGTCCAGGGGGGTTGTGGGGGAGGAGGAATGAGATGCCCTGGCAGCCAGAGCTGTGTTCTGCCTCTGCCTGCAGAGGAGGGAGTACTTTGCCCCCATGTGTGACCACCATTGCCTGCCACCCTGCCTCAGGAAGACAGGCCTCGAGCTGCTCGCACCCAGCCTGGCTGCCCTGAGGTGCTGCAGGGCCTCCTCGGGGGTGGAGGTGGCCTCCATGGCAGCTCCCTCCTGGTGAGGGGTGAGCAGGGCTCAGGGCCCCCAGGGCAACAGCAGTGATGCGTTTTAATGGCCAACAGGCATTTTGTCAGGAAGCTGGTGGTGGCCTTCGCTGCTGAAGGGAGGTGTCTGTGTGAGCTGCTTGTGCAGTGGTGGCAGGTCGCTGTGGTCTGAACTTTGGCTTTGAGTGTGACTAGTCTCCCTGTGGAGACAGCAGCCTGTGCTGTCCTTTCCCTCTCCAGGTGGTAATGCCGTGGAAAATAGCTGGCTTTCGTGTAGGATTCACACAAAACGAGCTGGAAACCAGGTCAGAAATCCTTCTGGTTAAACTAATGATGCTTGTCTGAGGGGCCTGTCTGGTTTGCTTTACAGCCTACCCTGTGCTCTCACTGCGAGTGTTAACTAACCTCTCTTCTGTTTCAGTTTGCCACAGACCCCTGTGAAGGTAAACACATTAAAACCAAACTTTCTCCCTCACCAGCTGCAACTTATGAGTGTAAAAATTTCACTTGTAGGAATTCAAAAAAAGAAGCTGATTTAAACCTGGCACAGGCTCGTATGAGAGACCTTGATGCTCAGCTGAATGCAAAGGAAGCTGATTTAGCAACAGCTTTGAATGAGAACCGAAGTTTGGAGAATGACCTTCGTGAATTAAAGGATCGAGTAGTCACTGTAAGACTTGTTCCTGGAATTTCAAATTTGCTTTTGTTCCTGAAGCTTTTTCTTGTTTTTTTTCCCAACTAGTTACTGAGATTTAAAAGCAGGGAAAGCCTGTTATCTATGGCAATGACAGGTGGACAGAAAGACTTCTGCAATCTTGCTGAAAGCAAATGCTACTGATAGTTGGTCTGTTAAATTCCACCTGTTGTAGGTACCTTTAATTCTATTCTGTGACCATAATACGTAATGTTTCTTGCTCTAAGGACAGAGCAAGTTGAAATGTGTTGTACTGCTATAGGCCCTGTAGCATTCTCTAACACGTCAGCAAAGGGAGCATTTGATAGACCCTGCTTCACTATGCTTAAATCTAGGTAGAATAAGTAAGTTCTGACTACTTTTTATGTAGGCTCTTGTGCTACTAAAATGAACTCTGCTTGAGTTGCTAGTCTATCAATGCATTTCTAAGAGCACAGCTTTTGTATCTTCATGCTTTAATGTGATCATTGAATATGCTAACTTCAAATCTTTAGGATGAAAACTTAAACCAAAACCAAACTTGTATTAAAGCAGCACACTCCAACACTGGAGGTTTATAATAGTTTGTCAACATAGCCTACATTCAGAGGATTTCACTTGTTAAGCATCAAACAAATTGTATTGGAAGTTAGGGAGAAGTTTGGAGTACTTAGCGTTCTCAATGGGCAGGATGTATATGGACAGTACAATTGAGTAATCAGAAGCCTTACTTTCAGGAGTCAAACTTAGTTGGTGGGATTAAGGGCTGCTTTATATTTGCTTTGGGGGAAATCTGCCTACATAACAGTTAAATAGGATTCCTTCTGTTGCTAATATACTGGATCCCACTGAAATAAGAACTTAAACAGAGTAACCAACTTCACTTAAGCAGTGTGTTTTGATTGCTGTGGGAATGAAGTTGAATGACCTGTAGTAAGTTGACTGTCTTAGTTCAGAAAAATGACATCTTAATTTTGATTAGTCTGTCTGTCTTTTCTAGCTGACGCTGTCACTGGAGGATACCAAAAAGCATCTCAACAGTGAAATGTTGAGGAGGGTGGACCTGGAAAACCATATGAAAACTTTGCAGGAACAAATTATGTTCCAGAAGCGCCTTCACGAAGATGTATGTTTTAGCTTATTAACAAGGACTTTTTTTAAGTGTCCATAATCCCTGGATGCACTTAAAATGTAATGTTAAGATGTGGTTTATCATTAAAAAGTTAACTAGCTGAGTCAACCTATGACAGTCCACCAGCCAACAAAATCAGTCTAACTAGGAAGACTTAAAGTACACAACCTCATGTTAACTGGCATAGTACCAATAGGTATCTGGAGTATGAGATAATTTTCTTGGGCTGCAGTCTGAAGGTAACTACAGTCCCAATATACTACTTTGTGTAACTGAAAGTGCATATATTACAGTTAAAGTTAAATGATTCCAGATGTTTGCTAGAAGCCTAAAATAATCAAAGAAGTTAAATCTCCTTCAATAAGCAACTTACGTTCCTGCTTCCTTATACACTTATCAAAGGTGTCTGGTAGAACTAAAAAACGTGAATGTAAACCAACTTCCTTATGGCTGGAAGGAATCTCAAAGTGTGTGGTGTAAGCAACAGAGAATTCCAGTTTCTCTAACCAACTGCTATTATGTCTTGAATAAAACAAGAATAGGTGAAGTGACAGTGCTTAAAGAAACTGAAGTGTATATGCATGTGTTCTGAGTAAAGAAAAGCAGAGAAATCCATCTGCTTCAAAGAATTAGTCTTAAACACAAACTACTGCACTTACTAGATTAAGCAATGTTGGCAGTGAGGTAGCAAAACAACCCAGTGCAGCTAGCAAGGTAGAAGTACCTGACCTAATGGATGAATTATCTTAGATCTGAGTAAAGATGAATCACTGTGCACTCAATGATAAATCTGCTTCAATATTGAATGACTTGTTAAGCTGATACAGTAAGTTCAGTCTCAAACTGTATTGGCTTGCTTACTCTGAGAAATGTCTTTTTCTCCTAGGAGCTCAAGGAGACAAAGAGAGTCCATGAAAGCAGGATAGCAGAAATGGAGTCTGGCCATCAGAAGGAATTTGAGAGTAAGCTCTTGGATGTTCTGCAGGGACTCAGAGAACAATATGAAGAACAAATTCAAGGATACAAATTGGAGCTGGAGCGAACACTTGGTGCAAAAGTGAGTCTGTAAAAGATGCCAGTAAAGCAAAGCTTAAGTTCTCTGCACCTTGATATGATTAAAGTCACACTTGCATAAGTAGCTGACTGATGGAGCCTTTGGATTCAGTGCAGAGCTTCTTGGCATAAGTTGTTACGGAATTTCAAAGCAGTATCAAATTTGACAGTAAAACTTCTATGAACACTTGGTCCCAAACAAAACTGGTTCAAGCACAAACACTCTCCCTTTGGAGACTGAGAAATGGCTAATGTAATAAATTTGATCAAAAGTCAGATTTCTTACGAATCTGAGAGCTTGTCTGACAAACTCAGGTCCTAGGTGTGCTATGTTTGTATTAAGAAACTTCAGTATTCTTGAATAAAACTTGACCTACTCATTAGTTTTACTAAAATGTATGAAATAAAGTATTCTTACAGTCCTACAAGGACACTCTTAAATGCATGGGTGCAAAGATCCCTTCCCAGTTGCTAGTACTGGATAAGGGGGAGAGGATGGCTATGGAAGTAGCTTGACAGTTTGTCTTCCAGAACTAGTATGTGACCTTTTTCCCAGCATTAGCCACGTATGCAGGGAAAAGTAGTACTTGAGGCTTATACCTTTTGATAGGTAAGATCCCATCCCAGGGGTTTCTGGGTTGGTTGTAGTGTACAGTACTGGTATCTTAAGCCTTCTCTAATCCTCTGTGTAGAATCACATGATCTGCTACTTCTCTCAGCTACCTGTGTTCACTTCTTCCTAGTTCTTCTGTCTTTCTCTATACTCCAACTTACATGCCAACTCAGTGAAATCCTTTGGATGTTTCTGTCTGGGTTTCCACTGGAAATTCTGCGAGTGCCTCTTGTAGGAGCATGGCTCTATCCTTTCTTGGAATATCTCAAGACAGAATTGGTCTAGAAATAGCTCAGTGCTGCTTCTAATGATGTAGGAACTGTTTAGTAATAGAACTTTTGGGGAAGAGCAATAGTTTGATAAGCACACCTAATATCCTGTAGCCCGATACTTTGACAAGCAGCTTCTAAACATTCTCTATTGTTATTCTGGAGAATCTATTTACTTGATATCTATACGAAGTCTTCATGCATCTGTAACTGAAATATCCAAATCCAGCAACTTTCACTACCTGATTATTGCTGACTTTTCCTGACATGAATGTCAAACTTGTGTAAACCTCCCTGAAAAGCAATGAAAACCTTTCTGACCTGGACTTCATTGGTATCTGCACACTTAAGTAAAACATAACTATTTCCAGATGTAACAGTGGGAAATCACTTGGTTTTCCTTTCTCATTTAAAATACATGGTCATAAGCAACTTGCTACTAACAGTGACTTATCCATAGGTGGAGAATGCCCAGCTATCTGCTGCCAGAAATAGTGACTTTGCCAATGCTGCTCGGGAGGAGCTGATGGAAACAAAGCTGAGAATTGATACTCTGACATCTCAAGTTAATCAGTATCAAAGCCAGGTACTATCTTTATTTGTATAACCTTAGATTTATTTTAATTACCCAATTTGAAATATTGGTGTCTCCTCACTAATCTTCAGTTATGGTTTAATTTATTTTTTCCATCCCCTTAACTTTAGAAATTTGCTTTGGAGAACAGAATAAGGGAACTACAGGAGATGCTGGATTATGATCGTGATCTCCATCGAAGGCATATGGTTGAAAAAGAGAAAGAAATGGCACAAGCCCAGCAGCAGGTACGAGCACAGCTGGAAGAATATGAGCGCCTCTTAGATGTGAAACTGGCTCTGGATCTGGAAATAAGTGCCTACAGAAAGATGCTGGAAGGAGAGGAACAGAGGTAGGCTATGACAAGATCTTCATATGAGAGCTTGTTTCATCCAAGTTCACTACACTAACTGCATATCTTTCAGAATGTGGAGGAAACAAGAAATAAATATTAAGTATGTCATTAGTGCTGTAATTTAGTTCTTGAAGCATGATCTTCTGTAGATGGTGTTTATATTGCCCATCCACCACATGGTGTAGTAAGGTGAAGTAACTCAGAGGTCCATTAGATGTCCCTCAGCTTTCTCAAAGCTTTGTACTACATCCTAGAGATTTATAAAAGACACTGCGCAAGTTTCACAAATTAAACTGGGAAACTGTACCAGCCCCCAACTACTCAGACACTGCCTGGTGAGAATGACATGATGAACTCTTAATACATGCTAAGAAGAGTTGAAAACTTAAATTACTTCCACTAAACATTGTGTCTGTAGAGACTTTAAAGGAATACTTGAATACTTATTGCAGTTGGGAATCTTCTTACCAACATAAGCTTGCTCTGAACTCTAGGGCTGGGGCTGTCTGCAAACTTAACAAGCTACTTGGCTACTTTTGCCAGTAAAACTAAAGTCTTTAATATAAAGACTTCATAGAAAGCTTGGATATAAGAAGCTGTTAGGCTTGGCTATAGTGGGAGGATAGGAGTGAGAAGAAATAAGCACATCAGATATTCAAGTGGATGTTATGTGACTTTCTAGGCTAAAGCTGTCACCTAGTCCATCTTCACAGAGCACTGCAACTCAAGCAGCAAGTCAAGGGCGACGGTTCCTGCATGGGAAGAAAAGGAAAATGAAAGAAGCCAGAAGGAGAGGGCATAGGGCTGAGTTTAAGACTGTTCAGCATGCTTCATCTTCTGGAAATGTATCTATTGAAGAAATCGATGCAGATGGGAAATTTGTCAGGCTTAAAAACAACTCTAATGAGGTACTTCTGTTCATTCAAGTCTGCACGGCCTTCGCTGCAAAGTACTGCTTGTGAACTGACCTGTAGCTTAGTGAGATATGACAGTAGGGGAAGATGAGGTACTGCCAAAAAAAAAAACAAAGTGGGGACTTCTCAGCTAACCTGGCTGTTGTCAAGAGAGGACTAGAAGACTGATTTTTTTTTTTGGTACTGCAGGTGTTTTGTTCACAGGGCTGTCTGGGAGGTGCTTTTGGGAGCAGGTGCACTGGGTTCTATGGTGCAGAAATCTAACACCTTCAGTTGTTCCTCATCGGATTCAGGCTAGCACTATCAGAAGTACTACTTATCCTTGAACTAAATAAGGTGTTTAGTAAACTGGATAATGACAGCTTATTACTTAAAAATGCTTAAAACAGCTAAAAGATTAAATAGAGCTGACAGTACCTAATCCATGCAGAGGGTTTATCTGACCAATTAGATAATTCTTTGACTAGTTTAGTCTGCAAGTCCAGAACTATTAGAATTAATGCTCAGAGCTTCAAAACTTGTGGCTGGTGGCTTAGCCACTTCAGCCTGAGATCCCTTAAACCTTCACAGGCCACTATGTATGTGTTATTTATATGGCCCAAGTTGGTAGTTGGGCATGATAAACTTGATTTATCAAAGTATCTCTGGTAAACAGCATCATGATTCTCCTTCAAGAGAAGGCAAGAATAGGTGTGCTTAAACTCACGGGACTAAGATTAATTCTAAGGAAGCATAGGGAGGCTTTAATGGAAATTTGAGGGCTTCCTCAAAATTGATTGGATTCTTGTATGCTACAGGAGTGGGGCTAAAACTGACCCTTGAGTCTGGAAAGAACCTTGCACTTGTATGATACAGTGTTGGTCTGTAATGCTGAGAGAAATTTCTTGTCCCACAGGATCAGTCACTACATGGATGGGTGTTAAGACGACATCTTGGAAGTGTGTCAGATGTAACATTCAAGTTTCCTTCGCAATTCACTCTTCAGGCAGGCCAAGTAGTTACAGTAAGTAGTGGTTTTGTAAAACTTACTCCGAGCTATGTTCTTATGTTAGATGGCAACAGATTCATGTAATAAGAAAAACTACTGATACTGCGAGTGCTTAAAGAACTAAAATTCTTATTTTATGGGGAGAAGGAGATAGGAAAAAATCCTTGCAGCAACTTGATCTGAAATGCCGATTAGATTTTCTTTAAAGCTAGATCTTGGATTGAACTTGTATCATCCCAGACTGTTACTGTGAACAGAATCAATATATTCTAGTTTATTCTTAGAGTTCTCCATACTCCTGTGATTTGATAAAAGTTGCGCAAAGACTTGCATTGTTGCTAAAAGCTTTAGTCCACTATGGTTCAGCAATGCTCAGCTTGTGGTTTATGGTACTAAGCTAAATATTAGCTCTAAAATCATACTCTTAAGTACCCTTTAGATAGTGTTTAAAGAGCCTAACTCTACACTCTGTACTCAAAACTCTTTCTGAGCTTGCCCAAGAGATCTGCAAGTGACCTCAGGGTGGAGGCTATCTTGTGTACACAAATTGTTGCCATGAGTATGCCTGTAACTATGGCTTGGCTCTGTGACTCAAATGGTATGTGTGTCCAAGCAAGGCTACCTCTACATCAGGTAGAAGCTGTTAACAGCCTTTTCTGTGCTGTTTTACAGTGTTTAGTTAAAAAAACCATTGCCACCATTCTTGGTAGTCCTGAAAACAATTAACCTGCTAGAGATCACAGTAGTTCAGTTTCTCTAACTGGACATTTTTGGTATTGGAATATTTAATAGCTGTGTATGTCGATAGTTATATATGTTAGACTAACTCCTCATCTAACTACAAATAAGATTTTTTAGAAGCTTGTTCTAAATATGTTGCAGATCTGGGGTGCAGCTGCTGGTGTAAGCCCAGGTCCTAGTGATCTGGTCTGGAAGTCTCTGAAGTCTTGGGGAACTGGGGATATTATTGGTGTTACACTCCTCACAGATGATGGTGAGGTAAGTGAGGTAGTAAGTAACTCCTACTGTCCTAATACTGAACTTGTTTGTGCTTAATTCTTGAGGGTTCTTGGTGGCTATTTAATTGTATTCTAGGAACTTGCAGAGAGGAAGATAATGTACGTACCCACAGGAGAAGAAAGTGGTGAGCAGGATGATGATTATGAAGAAATAACTGGAAGTGAAATGGAGCTTCTACCTCAGGTAAGCTGCCTGAAGTTTTAAATATATGCTATCAACAGAATCATTCAATGGCCATTTCTCTTCATTACTGTATGAAAATACTTCCCCAAGTACTATCCATATCCTACAACTCTTACATTTTTCTTGATGTCAGACCAAAAGAAGAAGAAAAAAGAAATGTTGTTTGGTTTCATGATAGTGATTCCTCTGAGCATCCTTAAGCAGGTGAGATGGTGAGAATCATGCTTGTCATCTCATAGAAAACTTGCTTCATTAATAATGCTGCAGTCTCTTGCCCCATGTAGGATGTAGCTTGCATGGCTTTGCATCAGAAGTGGAATTGATGTTTTGCTTATTCTCTGGTTTAATATGATCAAATAGTAGTAATTGTTTGATCTCTTATTACTGTCACACTGAAAAATACAGCTTTAACGTCTCCTCCAACCAAACATCTGACTGAATACACTTAAAAGCTGTTACCCCAAGAACAGAATGCAACCACTAACTAGAAATAACTTATTTCTGTGGGATGAACTGACATATATGACACTCCAGTGTCCCTGACTTGCTCTTAAAATAACTTAAATTCACACTCCAGAAACCTAATATTTCCATTCAAAAGTATGAAAAAGATGCAATTAATACACTGTGAAATACGTCCTGTGAAAGACTCTCTATCCCCTCCAAAGGGCTTCTGACTCACCATATTACAAGTCTGCACATTGGATGTTCCAAGTGTACTTTGATATACTAGTAGTTGGGTATCTTTAATTGCAGTAAACAGAATACAAGGGCTTTAAATTGGTCATAACTGAACAACTGTGGACTGTACTTGACTTGGTTTGTTTCTGTGCTTGAAACAGCACCAAGTCCCTTGTGCCTAGTACAAATGCCAAGGCCCTAAGCACAGGAGCGTGCCTAGCTAAAAATTCATTCTCTCCCTCCTGCTGACACAGCATGTTGAGTTATCACAGCTCTTCCTAAAACTGATCCTACACAGTTACAAGGAAGACTTGTATCTTACTGCAAGTCTTAAAGTTACCACCATTTCTTAGATATTTTCATAATATACCTGTCTGAAGACTTAAAAGTACCTTACTACAGTCTTTCTGAAGAAAATGTACCTAAGAACAGGCAGTTACTGCCTGCTGCTTGGTTCTTATCCTTTCAAACAGAAAATCTGGCTGTAAATATCTATTACTATAATACTGGCTTAAATAACCTGGCTTAAAGGATGTTTTTCAGTCTCCTGCGTCACATGCACGTTCATGTAACATTTTCAGTCTCCCACTGAAGGAGTGTGAGACCCTGTTAAATAGGCTATTGAGAAAGGTTCCAGCATGCTATTCTGGCCTTTGGGCTCTTAATGTACAGCATACACCAAAACGGTCAAAGTAACACCAGTGGAAGCTTTAGCCTTATGAAGAGACTTGATACAAGTCTCTTTTCATGTTCAGAGTAGGGCCTCTCCAAGGTGGTTGTTTTTTTTTTTAAAGGCTCTTCATTTGAATTGACTAATGATATGGCTTGTTTGGCAGTGAGTGATGAAAGCAAAAGTAACTTTTTTCCTTGCACCTCTAATCTGTTTTATCAGCATCTTTACAATACAGTTGTGTGCCATTTATGGTAAGAATCGATTCTAACACTCCCACTCAAATGTTAGTGTTGTTCCTGTCTGCTGAATTCCTGTCAAACTTTTGTCATTAGTACCTATATGCTTCTGCTGCATTGGTAGTACTGAACTAATGGCAGCTTAGTAAAAAGCAGTTACCTTTCTGCATGCAGTAAAATGATGCAAAGAAAGCATGCTGTGCTTTAAAGGAAGGTGGGGTTTCCATGGGTTTTGCTTCTGCTTTTACCATCCTAACTAGGGTAGCATGAACCTGCATGCCAGTGAAGTTTTTATGCTTCAGAACTGAGGTACTGATAAATAGCTTGATAGCCTTTCACTAAGGAAGGCATAGGCTCATGTATTGCATGGACTCAAATTCTTAAAAGCTTGTATTTTTCCCCCAAACCATCTAGTATAGTTAAGGTACTGCCTCTCTTGAAAACCTGCCTTGCTTTAATGAAGTAACCAAATCTACAAAACACTAAAAACCCCACATGCTTATATGAGGATCAAGTAGGTAACCAGCAATAAATACTAAGTTTGTACACATGCTGATTAGCCTAACATCTTCATGTTTTATTTCTGCAGCAAAATGAGGATCCTAGCTGTTCTATCATGTGATGTGGACAAAGAGATGATCACCTTGAAAACAGTTCTCAAGCCCAGGTGACATAGGCTATGTGTGTTTTGGTATCTTCTGCAATAACTGAAACTTGGAATTCCTGTCTCCCATCTGACCTCTTTGTAAGAAACATTGTCCATAACATGGTGAAACTTCCTACCTTCTGGTACTGGACCCTGTCCTTGGATTCACTGATATAAAGAGCAGTAGAATACAAGCTCCATGTGAAGTTATATTTACTTTAACACAAGGATCTGGTTTCCATGACCTGCTGAAAGAGAGGAGGGCACAGAGTTTACAAAGCTTCTAAACATATGTCCTAAAAGATGCTAAATACTTGGCACTCAGCATGAGGCTGCCTTGGCTTTCTCAATATTCTGATATGGTGTTTCTCCAAAGGTAATTTCTGTTTTAAGCCTGAGTGGGAAAATGCATGGGCCAGATCAGACCTTAGCTTGCACCTTGAGCAAGTCTGAACTTGGCTGAAGTAAAACACTCCTGAAGAGTGCTGAGTGGCTGAGATGTTTCCTGCTCAGATCCTGATGCTGAAATATGTGAAACTGGTCTAGAGCACTTGCTAGAGAATTTCCTAGAGAAACATTTTGAAACTAAAAGCAAGTTGTAAAAATATTTCTATTAAATGTACTGTTTCTGTATTCTAGCACCTGGAAATCCACCAGTTTCAGTATTGTATATTCCTAAATACAGTATATCACAGTGTAGCTATGTCAACTTTAACTTGGACAGATGTATCCTATAAATGTGAAAAAGCATCTCTCAAACAGAAGGTACTATAACTAGCAATATTAGCACTCTGAAGTGTCCCAACAAGCCAGCTTTCTAAGGGGCTAGAAAAAAGCCATGCTGAAACAAAAATCAAAACTAGAAAGTACCAGCTGTAGTAAGAGGTGCATCAAAACTATCTGCTGTTAGAGTCCTTACATACTAAGTCTCTGTGCAGTCTGCAGTACTGCTTTGTGTGTCTCATTGGACAGTTGGAGGAATACTGTCTAGTGGCCAGTATGTGATTTACTGTAACTGTAATAGCTCTGTAGTCCATGTAAAGCCTGACCTATAACCCTCAAACTAGGCAGTCAGCCTCTGGGGCCACTGGATTCTACTATTCTTAGCCTCTTTTTACTAAAATGCTTACCTGCTGGCTCTATTGTCAAGAAAGGGCCTTGATGAGCCACATAAAGTACACTTCTATTTATGAGCATGAGGGAAGCAGCTGAGATTGCAGACTTCTCCAAATGCTGGAGTAGTTTTTTGACTGCCTCTTACCTTGCTGAAGTATTCAGTTCTGAATTTAAGACCTGTTCTGTGTTAGGATTCAGTTGTTAAGGTGAGGCTTTCCTTGTACTAGCTTAAACTCTGAAGTTATTTAAAAATTCCAGTTTTGAGACATCAAGAGTAGATGTGGGTTTAAGACTTGCATTTTAGCAGATCTGAATTATTGTTGTACCTCATGGCCCACATAGAAATAGCAGCTACTCTAACCTTGCTCTATTTATCTTTGTTTCTTAAACTTTTTTAACTATTAAAGGTATTTTTCATGTGTATAAAGGCAATCTGGGACTTTAATATTTGCAGATTAAATAATAAAGTTTTCTTTGTTCATTGATCTTGTTTGAGTGGCTCAAAAGACTTTGAAGCAATAAAATGGGTGACTTCAGACCAAAGAAACCAGGAATAAATGGTGCTGCCCTGTTTATATTCATCACTCAGATCTTCAAGTAAAGGTGAACTGCTATGAGCTTGATCTAAGAGGAATCTTCATATTTCAAATGAAACCTATTCCTAGCACAAGGGAAGAATGGTATTAAGCAACAACCATGTAAGACGAACCCTGGTACACCAGTCTTGATAGAAAACAGCAGTAGTACTGGATGGTGTTTGGCAACACTGTCAGTGGTCCAGGAAACAAGATTACTTACTCAACTACACATCCTACAAGACAGTTTATGAAGCTTGTTCTTAGCATCCATCTTATAAAGGCAGATATTAAAGAATCAATTCCCTGATGTGCAATGGATCCCATTGTGCAAATTGTCTTTAAGCTGGTCTTTAAATTGGTTTCCTATGACCTCTGTATATCCTAATTACTAACAATATAGCTCTCTTGACTTGCTTCTGGCTGACAACTTTTCTAATAGCTGCTTCTATGTGACACTTATTGCAGCCAACCAGGAGCTCTATACTAAATGGCAAGCGCTCTGCTGTGAAGTGTATTGAGAATTCAAACCTTTATATATGTGTGTGTGTAAGCAATTCTTTCATCTAGAGAATTCTGATGAAGTAAAAGAGAGGTTTCAATGCCTCTTTTCTTGCCTGCTATGGAAAGGTATGACTGGTGAGACACCTCTGAGAAACGAGCAAAAAGCAAAAGCAGCTGTGAATCCTAGATACTTCAATCTTTGAACATTGTCCCATACATTTTGTATTCAGAACATCATAGCTACTTTCATTCAAAAACTAGGTCAGGACAAGTTACTTTCTATGCTGCTGCTTTAATAACTACAAGGTACTTGCCCATGAATTTGGAAAAGGGCTGATGAGTGTTGTTCTTTACATGACCAGGTCCAAATTCTGAGATGATGTGCCCCAAGTAGCAGGCTATAGCCAAGCCTGCAAAGAATAACGCTCTATTTCTCTTATGACCATTCTGCAAGCCAAGGCCAGAGATGAGAGAAACCAGAAAGCTATGGTTTTGATAGCCAGACAGGGGCTACTTATGTTTCTTAGATGGAAAGTACTGCACTCGTGATACACATTAAATTCTTTCCTCTCTAGGGACTGCTGTTTCAACTGGACTACAGAATCAAGTAGAGCTTGAAACTCTGAATCTGGATTGAAGCCAGTTTGCCCATAAAGAGTTCACCTGTCTTACACAGCAAGCAACTGGCAAAAGAGTACATGTTCCTCTGGGGCTGCTGAAGTTGTTGGTCATTACTATATCTGCATTTACTAAGCAAAGCAGGAGAAGGCTAACAGAAAAGCAAATTAATTCTGTCTTTATTTTGAGAGTACTTAAGATGCCCGAGTCCCTCTGTCCTTCATTTTGAGGCTTTTCTTGCCTATCTTTATTTATAGCATGTGTTTCCCTGTCTACTTAGTCTTCTCTTTCTCTTCCTTCTCCATCCCTTTCAAATAAATATAAAAAGTGGAAGTGTATTGACTTTTTATTTGTTTGCAGTACTCACCAGTGATACTCACCTGTTTTTATCTCAATGGAGATCTATACAAACCCTGTGGGGGTAGGATCAGTTTGTGCTTAGTTCAAAGGAATTTTTCTCTGATCCTCCTGCTACAAGAAAATTTTAACAGACATTATAAATGCTACACAATCAGTAGGGAAACAGCAAGAATATTAAAATTCCAGTGGCTGAGGTGTCATAAAACTAATACTTTGGCTTCATTCATGCATTTTTAATGCAGCATTGTTTTCTTCACTGAAAGCTGATATATTTAGCAAAAGTGACATCCGGCTCAGAAACAAATGCCAGAACTATAGGAACAGAAGCAGCAACCACTGTTCTTATCCCACAGAAATATTTATTCAGTTTGGTCAGTAAATTATAGGAATTTTCAATGCTGAGAACTTGTACTTAGTACATCATCATAATATTGACAACAACCACTTTGCTTTTTGTCAACATACAATGTGAAACATGAATTAACTTGTTCACAATAACTTACAGTGTGATAGATGAAAAGAGCTCAATGACATCAGTAACTTAGGAACTGGTTACAGTTAGCTTCACTTACAGTATTTTTAAAAATGGTTTTCAATAGTAAAATCATCACAGCCAGAGATAAAAAAAAAATATCCATGTACAACAGTAGCAAGGAAATGCATTTTTGGAGCAACAGTGAGCTACCAGTAAACACTTCATACAGTGATCTTCAAGGCACAAAGCAAAAAAACTGGGAATGGGTTTTTTTGCAGGTTGACGAGTCAGGGAAGGTGAAATTTTTTTGAATATAAAATAAATACATTTTAAAAAGACGCATACAAAAGTCAGTAAGTCAGTCAAATAGCAAGGCTTTCACAGAATGCCACACTGACAGAACATTTGTGAATCCATTTCAGTCATGAAATCATGTTCACAGCTTGAATGACACAATCACTGAGGCAAGGGAACCATTACTTCAACATAATTAATGGGGAAGAAGCCAGACTCTCCATTTAACATCCCCTCGTACCAATTCTCATCAATCTGATTGGTCAAAGTTATGATGTCCCCTTCCTTAAACCCAAGCTCGCCTTCATTTTCTGGCTCAAAGTCATAGAGAGCTTGGCAGCAAGGCTGGTCCATGTGCACTGAAGAACCTGCCCCCAGTGACAGAAAAAAACCCGTATTAATAGAGCTCACAGCATCCTACCAGCCACTAAGCATAAAACAACGGGTCAAAAAATGTAGCCCTGCTGTCATGAATTTCCCCCCCCTCCCCGCCCCAGTTTTTCCATTGCTTTCATCCATTAACATCTGGTTCTTCTACACATAAAAAAATAACACTAGTGATAATTACTTTGAAGCATAATTCTGCTTCTCCCTTAAGTTCAGATGCTACTCTCTTTTCATTCCTAGTTGCGTTCCCTTTCGAAAGGATGTTTACCTCAAACTGATAGTTTGAGCATTCACAGTTGTCAAAATCAGTGTGATCTCTTTGGAGTGGTAGGTAGAGGAATTGGAAGGGTAGGAGCTGAGGAAGTAGAAGAGTCAACATGCGAAGTGACAAGTAGTCATTTACACGAACTGCACCGCAGCACACTGCTACGGCGTGAATGCCGACCGGAGGGCAGGGGCTGAGTCAGCCCTACAAACACAACACACAGCCGGGAGGCGGCCACCTGGATTTTCACGCTCCATGTGCGTATGCAGGAGCAAGGCTTCCACCCTCACCTCACTTGAGCAGTGACAGACATTTCTGGGTTACTGCTCCCCAGGTTTGGCTGTTCAAATCCTTTGTTGCACACATACTTCATCGGAACTAAAGCAAAGGTTATGCAAGGAACAATGGTGCCTCTCAAACTATTTTACAGATGAAAACAGTTTTCCAATACAGTATCTGGCTGTTCTGCTCTTGTGACTTAACGCCGTTTGCCCTGCTATAAACATCTTCATTCCCAATTACTCTTCTAAAATATTAATGGTACCATATGCAAACATAATAGTAAGTACATATATTTACAGGAAAATAATACAAAGTACAAAAAAAAATCACCATTAGCAAAAGAAGTTAACCTTGTAAATGCAGTCACCTTTTTTTAAAAAAATATATTCTTCATGAAGGGGTGTTAATTGGCTTGGATTTGTGGTATGGATACATATGTAATACATTCTTTTGTTCATTTTTATGAATAATAACTTATTCTAATAAAATGAAATCTAATGTTCAAATTGTAAAGCTTAGCTCTGTGTCCAAGGACTAGCCAGAGGTTCAACTGAAGTTCAGCCATAACAGATTTTTAAAAACATATACAGCATTTCCAAGTAAAAGTCTGGTAATTTGAAATATATTTATAAAGGAAGAATAGGAGAAAAGATTTCAGGGTGCTGCCATATAAGCAGTAGTAAAATACATTATAGCATGACAACTCTAGAATGCTCTAGCACTTACATTACAGCAGTTAAACCTCTTGAATGCTAAGTTACTCAGGTTGTCTTATTTGGAACATTGCAACAATTCTCAAACATTCTAGTCTTGACTCTCTCTCCCAGCTATCACACATGCTAATCATGCTTGAAGAATAATTTTTGTCTGGGTAAATCCGCACACAATTGGTAATGTAATACAGATATAATAGCTAAGATGCTAAAAATGCATGCAAAAAAATGCATTTTAATCTGCTAATCATGGTAATGTGTTGGGAGCTATTGAAAAGTAACTGTACAGGCATTTTCTAGTAAAAGGAATTAGGAGAAGTCTCTTAAGGAAACCAGCTGACAGCTATTCTGGTGATCAGTAAATGAGAACAGGTGAAAACTTCTTTTTAATTGACAATAATACAGTAATATTTGGTGTTAAAACTAGGAAGTAGGAATTACTTTTCTATTTTGCAGGTATGTTTTATCCTTTATAAGAATAGAAGAGAGCTTTTATTTATAGAGTGGGAGAGAGCTGTCAACACAGAGATCCCCCTCAGCAAACCTCCCCAGAACATTGCTGGAACAATGCTGGACTTGTCTTCTGCCTGTGGAAGGCACCAGGTAGTGACAGTTTTACAAGAACAAGCTAAATTACGGCTAGTCTAATACAATGATATAGGTGAAAGCCTGGTTATGGACATATTTTTGCTGAAACAGTCCAAGCAGAAAAAAAAGATGAGCCACAGTTTCCCAGCAAAAATGGACTGTGTTCAAAAATAGCCAAGTTATTTTCAGTCTTTCCCAAGGTAGAACTGGTACCAGCTCACTGGAACTGTCAACAGCAGAAGGCAGTGCTCTGAATAACTGACGGAGTTCCTTGCTTTCACCAGCTGCTCCGATGGGGCTAATTTATTATTGCAAGCCAGTTAATTTCTGACAGTAAGGTACCTGATATAAGATGGATCACGTTTGGTTCATTTTAAGCTCCAAAGAACTGAAAAGAAATGTCTGGCAGCCTGGAAAGATTTTTAAATAACGGTCACAGCCAGTACAACCGGTTTCACTCCAGGCTGTAGGATCAGTCAAAGTCTCCATTAGAGTCAGGCAGCTGCTGCTACTGTGTGTAATCCAATGAGACAAAGCTTCCCTGACAAAGGTAATGGGGGCAGCACTGCCTGACAATCTGCAACACGCACTGTTTAACATTACAGAATTGGCGACATGATTCCAGCCTTTTCCTGTCTATTAAATAGTTGCACATCCTTTCCTGTTGCAGAGATTTAAGCTAAAGAAATTGCACTCTCTTCTGCAAATAAGGTTTATGTTAATTTGCAACATCATGAACACCTCCTTAATTTCTCCAGTTGTGGAGTTAAACCGCCACACTTCACTGTCACATTCAAAGATGACTTGTCATTAATGACTTGTCATTAATCTCCAGATCACTCAAACCTGGACAGCACAAAAACAGGTTAAGCAGGAAGCTGTCTGTGATTTCTGGAGCATTACAGGATAAAACCAGAACACCATTCAATGTTGGTTTGGTTTTTTGTTTGTTTGTTTTCCCCAAAGGGAAGTACTGCCTGTACCTGCATCTACTCTGTCTTCTATACCATGTTGCATATACATGGTAGCAAAATTATACTTCAATAATCACAAATTGGAAGCTTGCTAAGATAATTAATCCAAGTCTCCCTCACAGCTGAAGTGATGTTTATGTTAAATTCCAGCACATGGCAACCAGATCCATTTATTTCATATCATAGTCAAACCTAACAAACAAAAAGAATGAAAGGCATGATGTAATACAGCATTTAAAGAGAGTTCTAAAATGAGCCAGATGATGCTCATGGCCACAGCTGATTAATGAGGATAACAATTAATTAGAACAAAAATACAGATTTGTTATCTGTGCTTAATCAAAGCAGCTAAATATTTCACAACATTAAAATTCGGTTTCTGTGAACCTAGCCCTGCAAATGTGTGCAAGTCATCAGTAGTAAATAATCCCCACGTGTTAGGGAGCGTACAAAGGAAAATATTATTTCTGCTCCAAGAAGCTGATACTTGACTCGAAAAGCTATGGTGAAACACAGGAAAAGCCATTTCAACACTTGGAACTGGATTGTGGTAGTTGTGCTGAGCGTATCACAGCTTACTTTGAACTGTCCTGTTGATTTCCATGGGTTCGCTGAATACTAAGATACCACTTACCTTGAGTGACAGTATCAGGGAAATTACATGTCTACATTTTCATAGGGTCAATGTGTAAACAGGGGAAATTAAGCATGAAAGTGCTTGTTTGTGTAGGATGAAAAGGTCAGTTTTCTAAACAAAAAAAAAAAAGGTGATAATGATGCTATCCCCCCTATCACATGGGGACCTTAAAACGTTTAGCAGTTTTGCTTAGAGCTGCCTGGTTCACATTTCTAAATCACAGACCATAAATCTAATCTGTTTCATGATTCTGACTTTAAACAGGAACAGAAAGGTTTCCCCATTTACAAGCAGGGCAGATTGACCCCACTGCAGCTCCACAGAAATCCACATGGATAATGTTCAAGTATGATCAGGAAGAGAAAAGAGAAAGAACAATGATTTTGCTGATGATTGTACCTGCTGGGGAGGTACGCAGAGCATCCACAGCTTCTTCAGGAGGGAAAAAAAAAACCATGATACATGGTCTTTCTGATATTATTAGCAACACTAAGCATAGCAACAATTATTACATATATCCCATTTCTCCTTTTCATCTCTTTCATGGTTGTTTTATTTCTCTTCCATTCTGACAGCACTGAGTGAGTGAAGCAGTAAGTGAAAACCCATCATTTATTGATATGCAAGCAGTTGATGCAATAGTCCCTGAATGGAATCAATGAATGGAAGTGGCTCACTCCTTCCTTATCTTAGTGATCAGTGGTCATTTATTTTTCAGTTCATTCATTGAATTTCAGCTCATTAAAACTGGGATTTTTCTTTAACTAAGTGGGCTGGAAGCAACCTTGAGAAGTCATCTAGTCTGTCTTTCTCCCAAAGGCAGGATTTATTACCCTTAAATAACATCTTGGATCTACTGCTTCATCGCAATGATAAACCACTGCAATATGGCTTGAAACTCTGGTTTGACACACCAGTTTACATACAAATGCTGAATCTCAATCTCCTTTCTCCACTGCACATGCAGAGCAGAAAAAATAAAGCCTATATAACTTGACAAGATAGGGGCTTAGAAATTTTATGCTGAATTTTTAATAAAGGTTGCTATGTTTTTGCTACTTTCATCCAGATGTGCCATGAAAACAACTAGGAAGTTATTGATTGCTGCAAACATCCTCAGTGCTTTGAATGAAACGTGTCCTTGTACCACATGTCTTAGGAACCAGTGATCTGAATTGAGAGGAACGTGCAAAGAGGGGGTTGTCTCCCTCAATCCCACATTTGACCGCACCACAAAAACTGTTCTTAGCATTCAGGCAGCATGGGCATCTTCACTAACACACCCTCAAGTAGCCTGAAGCACAAAAGAAACAAATCGAGGAGTAAGATCTTGCCAGATGGATTTATGCTGCCAAATTGCTGCAAATCCCCTTCAGTATGGATTGTATAATAGCTTCATCTTGTAGCAGAGTGCAAGAAAATTAAAGAGACATTAGAAGGAGCATGAAGCTACAGCTCAAAGCTTTATTCTTTCACCTTTAGTTCTCTCATTTCTCTCCCCCAACCACCTTTAAAAAAGCAACAAGACTGGAGGGAAGAGGAAATAGGAGAGTTAGGGGGGAAGGAAAAAAAAAAAAGGCAAAAAGCTTCAGAAAAAGATCCTAGATACCATGCCACGTAGAGAATGGAACCTTTGGCTCACTGCTTCCCCTCTATTTTCCTTACAAATAAAGTTTATGGAAAAATTTGGCTTTTTCATTCTCTTTCCTTTGCATATTGTTGTCTTTTGTGGTTTTTTGTGTTTGTTTGTTAGTTTTTAAATTGGTCTTCTCTCATCATGCATGGTAGCCATTGAAGAGATAGGGCAAAATAATTTTATTCATGAGATAAGGAAAAGTTATTTCAATGGGTACTGTAACCTTACTAATTACTACCATTCACACAACTTTCATGGGCTTTCAACAGTTGACTTTTTTTTTGTGGAATCAGGGCCTAATCAAAGGAAGGGATCCTACTCCCACACCAGTAGGTACCTAAGTACTTCAGTTCATAAATGCACACACTTTTGTGCACACTTTAGGGGACAGTAAAGTAAAATATGTTACAATCAGAAAGGGATGGAGAGTCACCTTTCTGAATTTTACATGGCTAATACTTAAGATCCTGTACTGATCATTTATGGTCTCAGGCTGTGGAGAGAAATTAGCACCTGGAGATATTCCAGACAGTGGTCAAACACACCCACCTTAGGCATCTGTCTTTGCAAGAAAGGAACTGTTTTCTGCAAGTGCCTCTCCCTCTCTCTCCTCCCACCCTCAGTGGCAATATAGAGAACCTAAAAGACCAAGCAGAATGCCACATCTAAATTTCAGATGGGTGAGAGACTGTTGAGAGGAACCCTGCTTCACAATTCCATTTCCAAATCTGGGAAACAAACAGGAGTCAGATGTATGGATACTGATACCTCATGGATCCATTGCTCCCATGGTACAAGGAATACTTCAAGCAACAACCTGGCCAAACATCTATAGATGTTAATTCTGGTGGTAGTAGACTTACTTGATGATTTTATGGACGAACTATAGGTGATCCCATTGTGCTGCTGATTATCACCAATTTCCAGAGTTGTAGTTATTACAGGCTTTGGCTTAAATTCACGTTTAGGCCGACTAGATGCTACATTTATTCTGGAACACAGAGAAGAGTGGCAAGAGATTTACCTTGAGGGAAGAAATATTTACAGAGCTTACATTCAGGTTCAGTGCTTTGGTGTTTGAAAGATGGGGGGGGTGGTGGCGGGGAACCAACACAAAACCAAACCAAACCAAACCAAAAGCTTCCTGCTCGTTTTGGTTTTAGGCTTGGGGGGGAGCTTATTCACTAAAAGCTGCTCAATTCTCATGCAGTATTTGACTTTCAGCAAGTCCCTATTTTATTTAATGCTTTGGTCCTGCTGACAGAGGCATAAAGCTTAACAGCCTGAGTTTGAGAAGTGCTGAGCATCCACAGCTGCCACTGAGTTCAGCAGAAGTTCCAGGAATGAGCTCTCTGGAAAGCTCAACTGCAAACGACATACACAGAAACCCAGCCAGGACAGAGCCCCAGGGACTGCACCTCACACATTGCCTTTTTATTAGAGAAAATGGGAAACAACCATTTGGTCAGCACAACTGTCTCAAGATCTCTTCCTGTATGTGCACGTGGCCCAGCTGAGACCTCCTTGTCTCACTGGCCCCTCCAGCTGGGATGGTGCGGGGTGTCTACAGACACCGCTACCCCTATGCTAATCCTCACAGCCACCACATCCACCCTGATCTCAGGGTGGCCCCAAACAGTTATCTCGACTCCACAACTGTAATGTTAGCCTTCACTACGAGGACACTCAAGTCATTTACATCTCCTGTTCTCTGATGGTTCTCTGAGTGACATAAACTAATGACAGCACCATTTTTTTCTTCTATTAGGATGACACAAAGTATCTGGGCCTTTCACAAGTGCATTACACCACAGCTGTGTTCCTAGCCAGCTGGCTATTTCCTTACTCTACTGCAGAATTTTGTTATACCCCTTAATCTCCATGAAAATATGCCAACTTCTCAGCAAAGTCTCCAAAACACAACTCCAAGTATGCAAGTTTAAATAAAGCTACAAACAAATGGACGCTGTCCTGATTAACCTCCACAGATATGAGTGTGAGATTCTGCACACACTCAAAGCTTTCTGGGCAGATCCTGCATTACATTAAAGGCTCACAGCACACCAAGAAGTTGCCAGGTGGCAACGGTTTAAAGCAGTGAAGTCCAGTCAGGCACAGAGTGCAGCAAATGTTCATCTGTGAGATGGTGCTACAAGATCTGTTGCTTCAGTGGCTTTTCACATTCATGAACCCCAGCTGCAAAAGAAGTTCAAAATTTTCTGATGGGTTCAGTCTTACCGGTTTTGCAGCTTGCTCTGCAGATCCTCCAAAATTTCTGTGGATTGTTTATGGTAATCTAGTGCTGCTTCTACAAACACAGCCAACTGGCTAACTTGTTCTACCTGAAATATAGAGAGGAAAGGAGTTGTAAGGAGCCTGCAGTACATTCAGCTGAAGGATAAACAAACAGATCAGTCAAAACAGACCTAGTATCTCAAAAGACCATGATACCTTGTGGAGACTATTGAAAAAGAGCATATTGATTCTATCAAAGAAATTGCCAGTTGGAAACTGAACAAGACTGAGGTGTAACTTCTAGTTCACTAAATCAGGGCTGGGTCCTTGAGTCATTTCCTTTCACAATGTGCAAATCCCTTCTCCTTTCAACTTCCAAGCCAGCTGTCTGTCAACACCCAAGCCAAAAACGTTTAAAAGGACATGACCCCTTAGCAGGTGAAAAGTGGGGCTTTTCTGATCAGCAATGTTGGAAGAAATTACACTGTGACAGCTCTTATGACTCAGACCCATTAGTGTTTATTCGCAATGTTTACAAACCACAGTTCTGAAATTATCTGGATTTACCTCACTAGATGGCAGCATTTATAAACCAATAAATGAAACATGATTTATCTACTTGGATTTAAAAAGTATCAGCCAATCATTCAAAAATATGAATGCTGAGGAAAGGGAGAATGTGAAGGAGAAAGAAAAATCAAAATATTTTTATTCATGAGGTAACAAATAATCTCATTCCCCTAACACAAAGTGAAAAGCTCAAGCTGTAGTGGGGATGGAGCAGTGACAGGTATTTATTTATCCTCTTCCTTTAAGACAACATTAAGACGACAGACCCCAAGAAGTCTGACATGTTTCCATTCCATCATGAGGTCTTCAGACATTGGATCACAAAAAGGTATGAGAGTAAACTTTCTGCAAATGTTTTATGGACCCATGGCAATTTTGTGCTATACTTTGTCTGCTTTTACTCAGTTAAAAAGATTATTAGAAATTCTGCCGGGACTCCAAGAGAGCCAAACATTGTCACATAGCATACAGAAATGAAATGCACAGAACCAAATCAACAGCTGATACAATTCCATCACACTCAGAAGAGAGTAATGGAAACCAGCTGAGGACAACGCACAAAGCGCCTGGGGTTTGGATGGGATGGTCAGAGAAAATGGATAAACAAGGACTGTCCAAACAACATGACTAAGAGTCAGGAGGGATAAGGAACTGTGGCTTAGGAGAAGGGAGAGACAGACTGGGAAAGGGCCAGAGAAACTAGAGAGACTAAAAGCCACTTAGCAAGAGGAGCCTGGGTCTGGCTGAGTGGGAAAGGCAGGAAGATGGATCTGATAAGAAGTGCATGGAACAGTGTCTATGGGGGAGACCTGGCACTAACTGTGCAAAAACCTGAGAGAGAGATGCGGAAAGATGGCTGGGAACCACAGCTCAGAGAACAGAGACTGCAGGGCAAGGAGACCAAGAAAGGGAGACATTTGGGGAACTGGAAATGATCAGAAGGAAGTGATTGCAGTTAAGAGCTCGGCAAATCCAGTGAGACAGTCTGGGGTTAGATAATGAGGCTGCAATGAGAAGCTTGAGGAGGACAGACAGACTGGGTCAGCATGGAAAATGGAACAGAAGGAACACAGAGTTTTCTTTAAACAGAAACAATAGAAAGTAGGTATGGAAAAAACCTCAAAGGGACATCCAGTTCACCCCCTCCCAAAGGCCGAATTAGTTATACTAGAAAGTATAACTCATCAGTTCTCTAGTGGCTTAGCAAAACCATTTTAGTCCATCCACTGTTGTATCCTCAGTTTGGTGTTTTGACTAATGATAAACACTATCTGAAACATTTCTCAGCTGCTTATGCAAGGCAGAATTATAAAACACATACACTGCAACCAGGCAATGAGTAGAGCCTACAGTGGAACAGTGCGCTGAAATTGTTGATAGAGCATGTTACATTTTTTGCTGCCCTCATATAACTTGCACTGGTAAAACAGCAAGAGGTTTACTGACTTACACACTGCTGTAACAAATGTGTCCCACTCACAAACAGTTTAGGAGCTACAGACTAGTTTATAACTGGCCATTACAGAGGTGTGCATAGAGGGAGAAGATGCTTGCAGTTCAATATTCCCACTTAACAGCTCTTCCTTGTTGCAGTTTGCTCACAGAAGACAGCACATGTCTTACTTTCTAAGTGTGTCTTCTGTGATGCTACATCTATAGAAGAGAGAGCTTTGAAAGAGGCCCAAATAGGTCCAGTTCTCTTCTCCTACAGTTCCATGATTAGATGGGAAAAAGCACATCCTGCTATTCCTCTGTGTGTGGACTGAAGAGAGGATTATCCTGAATGACCACAGCTGCTCCTTGTTTAGACATAATTTCATGATGGACTTGGACTCTGAGCCAAAGTCCAAGTACCTGAGCCCAAGCCACAAGCAAACTCTATGGAGTAATTTTCAGAGCCAAATAGTAATAATGATTTTCAGAGGTAAAAAAAAAAAAAAAAAAAATCATTCTGAACTTCAAATCAGCAGCAAAGCTTTGACTATAAGTGAGCTACAATTCACGAAGCGCAGGGTACATACCCTTGGTCATAGTTTCAGCAGTACGTCTATGACAACGTCAACCTCTCAACCTTCTCTCTCCCACTGATCAAACTGTGTTCTACTCTCAGATAGTTCATTATTCATAGATTATAAAACCACTTAAGACCTCTGTGGCAATCTTGTCTAAGCCACTGTATCTCCAGAAGAAATTCCTGAATTCTTGAGTTCTCCTATTTACTGCTGTCCATTACGTTCCTCTCTGACAGGAGATTAAAAGAGGAGACACACTTTCTGTTTTCAGACCTTACCTCCTATGAAGGATGGGACAGGTTTTATCCAATCCCACACACATTGCCCTCCTGGATGTACTGCAGCAAACAAAAATGCAGGACAGACTTACATCATTTTCTAAGAAATTGAACATGCTTCTTTCAGCCAGTTCCTTTGACTCTTCAAATTTTTCTACTGCTTGTTTAACTTCTTCATCTGGTATCTTTCCAAAACGCTTCTTTTTATAATCATAATCCAAACGACGTCCTTCTAGTTTCTTCAAATGATGCTAAATAAGACAGAACATTTATAAGAAGGTCCAAACAGAACATGCACAAACACACACATTGTGATTTAAAGAAACTTCAGTTATGGATGCAAATACATGCAGAATCGAAGAAATACAAGGCTCAGAAATTATCCAGTCCATCCCTTTGATCTAAGGCAGCATCACGTAAATCTAGGACTGTATACATGTATGTCCCATGGTTTAACCCCAGCCAGCAACTAAGCACCACGCAGCTGCTTGCTCACTCCTTCCCCCTCCCAGTGGGATGAAGAGGAGAATTGGAAAAAAAAAAGTAAAACTCATGAGTTGAGATAGGAACAGTTTAATAACTAAAGTAAACTAAAATATCATGCTAACAATAATAAAATATAATAATAATAGTAATGAAAAGGGGTGTTTCTTCTCTGGAAGAAATGGGGCAGGCACCTCAGGAGGACTACAAGGATGTCGTGAGGTTATGAAGGGAGAAAATTAGAAGGGCCAAAGCACAACTAGAACTTCATCTGGCTACTGCTGTAAAAGACAATTAAAAAATGTTTCTATAAATACATTAGCAACAAAACGAGGGCTAAAGAGAATCTCCATCTTTTATTGGATGCAGGGGGAAACATAGTGACAAAGGATGAGGAAAAGGCTGAGGTACTTCATGCATTCTTTGCTTCAGTCTTTAGTAGCACGACCAGCTCTCTGGCTACCCAGCCCCCTGAGCTGAAAGACAGGGATGGCAAGAAGAACGAAGCCTCCATAACCCACAGGGAAATGATTAGTGACCTGCTAGACCAATTAGAACCTCACAAGTCTATGGGGCCAGA